TTGATGACAATGTCTCTTTGAGTCAGTGTTACAGTACTTTCAGCTTTGTAGAAGATGTGCGAAAATGCAAAGAAATCTGCAGTCTAGAAAGGTCCATTCTGGAAACAATATCAGCATTAGCATATTTTGAATTCACTTTAAGATAGGGATTGTTTATTAATCGCTTTATACTGTGCTTTTTTACCTCACTCGGAGTCTCTTTTTACACATGTGTATATCATTTGTTTCTGGCAACAGCTTAAATCCGAATGCACAGCAGCCATTACTGTTAGTCAGCGTCTGTGACTCTCAAACTCCACAGTATCACTTTCAAAACACCAAAGTACTCATGCTTTATGGTTTTCAGCAAATTATAATTTATGTAAATATTTGACATGAATTATTTGAAACAAAGGTAAATAGAATAGCTTTAAAGGGGTCATATGATGCTGCTAAAAATAACATTATTTTGTGTATTTGGTGTAATGAAATGTGTTTATGCGGTTTAAGGTTAAAAAAACGCCTTTTATAAAGAATATCTCTTTGGATTTGAGACTTTAGTCTTTGCAACTTTACAGATCTTCTTTATGCACCAAGAGCTTGTAACACTCCAAAGAGAAAGGAAAAATTTAAATCGCATCATATGACCCCTTTAATGAGCAAGTGGAAAAGACAGGTGCTGTGGAGGATCCTGACTGGCAGAAGAAGAGAGGTTGGAAAGCTGGTGAGAATTTCAAAGTGAAAGGCAGGTTGATTTATAATGCTTCTCGTTTGACCTGAGGCCTGTGAAATGTGCGCTGGCAGGAGTGACTCTACAGACTCTGCAACCAGTCTCTTTGTTGTTTTGCTAGGCTGTGGAGGTCTTCCAGAAGCGTTTGAACTGCCGTACACCTTGTGCTCTCATGGAGATAAGCGAAGCTAAACAAACATGCGTCAGTGTTAATGATGTGCTGAGATGATCATAACAGACTATGCTAATTTTACAGACGAACTCCTGATATCTGGCACTGGGAGCAGCTACATGACCATTTTAAATTTTAAAGCGTGCTGCCCGTCTGAGGCTCATGACTGTTGATGAGACAGTGTTCTCACTGGCCATTCTAGGGAACTGGCTTGTTAGCATTGCAGTTGTCTGTATGTAATGTGCATGAAACCATCACTGCATAAGTTTTCATTACTTTTATTTTAATATGTGTATTTAACGCATTTAATATGAAACATAATATGTTTTAACAAATTATTATTTTTTGAATTAATTATTTACTGGTAACTGTTTAACTGTTAAATTGGCAAATTATTTAATATAGTTTCATTACATACTTTAATTAGGTATTTAATATGAAACATAATACATTTATTTAAAATTGATTATTTATTTACATTTTTTTCCATTTCACTACATACCATTTGATTAGGTATTTAATATGAAATATAATTAATATTTTAACTTTAAACTTAATGTTTTAACAATTTTGTTTTATTATTTCTTTATAAATTATTTAACTAATAAATTAACCATTTATTGAATATAGTTTTCATCACTTTACATATACTTTAATAGGGTATTTAATATGAAATACAATTATACATGCATTAATACATGTATTATTTATTATTATTTAATTAATATAGATTCCATTGCATACATTAATTATTCATTAATTTTCATTACATGCATGAAATAGGAGACATAATTATGTTTTAACAAATTATTGTTTATCATTTATTTAACATTACAATTAACACATTATTATTTAATGGATATAGTCAAATAATATACAATTACATTAACCATATTTTCTTATTTGTTCAAATAATAAATAAGGTCTTTGTTGGTGTTCAGTTAAACCAAAATTGTAGTATGGAAGAACATTTTAGCCCATTTTAACACAGTGAATTAATAAATAATTATGTATGTGATATCATTGTCGTTTTTTGTTGAAATCTGCTATTTCTGCTTGTAAGGTTTGGCACATATTAATGCATATTTGACAATTTAACCACACATAATGGTTTCGTATTCTTCACTGGGTGAATGATGGCCCATTTACATTAATATTCCCCGGTGAATTACAAATGACCAAAGACCCCTTTCCTCCACCTCTTTCTAAATGGAGAGATCGTGAGTGTCTGATTAAACCGTAATTGCAGCCATTTGGCTTAAGATTCACTTGTCTGGCTGGGAGAGAAGTAATTAAGGTGGGTATGGATGCAGTGATTTGCCAGACCGACCGAGACTCATGCTCCTATCACAATTCAGGGTCTGGATCGGAGGATCATTCTACTCCTTAGACACAGTGTGGACGGCGTAAAAATGCCATTTTGTAGTGAATAAGCCAGAGTAAACTTGTTTGAATCCCCGCTTTTAAAGAGAAATTGGCTTTAAAGAGATGGTCTGAGCTGAATCCAGCACAGGAGAGTGCCAAGATTTAGTCCTGGTTTAGTAATGCTGAGCAGGACCTTAGAGACTTCACTCAGCACTCAATTAATAAACCTGCACCTGCATGCTAAAGGATCAAGACTCGCATCAAACACAACACTTGGAATATAAAATGAGAATCAGCAAGGCTATAGCTTGGTAAATTAATCTTTTTAATACCTGACAAAAGCTTTTGTTCTATAAGTCTCACATTAATGGTCAAATTAAATAAATAAATAGACTAAAATTCACAAAACCTTGTGAGTCTTTAGTTGCTAGTCCATATTGGATGAAGGTTTTGTCTCATTTTGCCACTGTCTTCCAACTTAGTTTCTTTATTGAGAAAAACTAACATGCACACTATTTTCTTGTATAATCTAAATATTCAATCAAACAGATTAAACAATATCCGGTCAGCAAGTCCTCATGTAAGTCTTCAGTGAGTCATTATGCGAACGAATAAGCTATAAAGTTACAGATATAATAGACTGGAATGTTAACTATAGTAACCTAGAAAGTTGACCAATGGCCTATAATAAGTTTGAAAGATGACTAATGTACTAACCTACGATATTTACTAATATCACAAACTTGAAAGTTGAATATATACAGTATTCACGTCTCTAAACAACAAATAAATACTAATAAATCTAATAAAACTGGACCTTTTTATGCAACCATCTACTACAGACTTCCAACGTCATAGCGCAGCAACTTGGATGTCATTGAGAATTATGAGTTTCCAAGTTATTTCAGCTTTGTTTGGTGCTACATTTCCGACTCCACTGGAACACCAGAAAAGACATATAGTACAAGGTGCTTAAAGGAATAGTTCACCCAAAATCAAACATTTGTAACAGTTTAAAATTGACAGTTTAGAGTTAAAATACCTTAATGATAAATTTGTTTCTTACAAACGTGCAACTTTTGACAAGACATTAATTGATGGACTGGAGTGTGGATTACTTGTAGATTACGGTGATGTTTTTATCAGCTGTTTGGACTCTCATTCTGACGGCACCCATTCACTACAGAGGATCCACTGGTGAGCAAGTGATGCAATGCTAAATTTCTCCAAATCCATTCCTATGAAGAAACAAACTCATCTACATCTTTGATGGCCTGAAGGTTAGTACATTTTTCATAAAATCTTCATTTTTCGGCTTCCTGAGTACAGAACTTGTAGGACTGCATGTTTTTCACCAACACATACACGACACGCACAATCTGTCACACTCACATTAACCCAACCTTATTACACAGCACATGATAGAGCTTGAACTGTCTACCAGGTCATGAATCATATATGTAGACCCTCTGACAATGCCTCTGACATAAAGACATAAAAAGAAAAAATAATAAAGTAGTACCTCCATTCAATCACCTCAGCTTTTTTTTTTTTATATAATAAACGCAAAATTTCAATGATTGAAAATGTCATCTATGACACCTTCAGTAAAGGATCATGATTATTATTTTTTTTATTATTATAGAAGCCTGTTTCTGCCAGTTTACATCTGGCAATTCTGGTTTTTTTTTTCCACCATGCAATAAAAAATAAGGTAATTGCAACTTTTTATCTTCAAATTTTTATCAATTCTGTTTTTTTTTCTAGTGTAAGGTCCACGCACTTGGCCCAAGGAAGGTATCCAGTGGTGGGAGACGTTTTCCCGCATTTTCTCTCAGTGAGATGCGGAAACAGATGTCTGTATGTTAATGCACTGTGTGAGTATTGTCTGTCTCAGAAGATCAAAGTATCTGAGTTTCTTTTATCCTTACACTAGCAAATCTGACTTAATTAAAAAAAATAAAAGTCAGAAAATAAAAAAAGTCTGAATTGTGAGATATAGTCACAACTGCTTTTGTTTTGTTTTGTTTTGCTTTGTTTTTTTTGTTTTGTTTTGTTTTGGAAATGGCCTTCCATACTTTATAATGAATGCTTTAAAAGAAAAAAAAAAGGTTTAATCTGTTTGCTTGAATGGACTTCACTTCTGATTTCTTATTAAAATATGCAAGCAATGTCATGCACAAAATACATCAATAAAAAGTGAGCTTGAAACTGAATTTTCTTCTAAAATATGTATATGCAGCACTATACAGGGATAAACTGTAATGGATGACTATTGGGACCGAACTGCAGTCTGTAGTATTTGAGAAACATTTCATATCCTATTGATATGCGCTAGGTGTGCAAGTGTTCTTCCCAAGGTGATTTTTTAAAGTACTTTTTTCCACAGTGTTTGTATGGCCTTGTTGCAAACAGTAAGAGTGAAGACCTTGGGAGTTACAATATGCATTTCACTAGCAGGTTTTAAGAATGTGAGATGAGGGCAGAAATAAAATGCTTTTTAAATTATTGAGAGACTGTAAAAAGTTGCTGAGGTTTACATGTACCTTAACGCTGGGTGTGGAGGAGTAAAGTTTTCCTGTTCCTGTCCAAATGAAGCCATGTCTGTGTGATTGAGGTTTATAGTGGGAGGTCAGCAGTGGCAGCCTCAAGAGCCCTCTGGGCATCATAAATCAAGACAGGGCAATAAACACAGACAGCAGAATTTCTCAGTATAAAGACAGGTGCCTTCTGCCCCGCCTGGACCGTTCCAGCATGAGGTTCAAGGTCAAGGTGAGTCCAAATATCACTGAGGGAAAAAACCTTCTGCAATACCTTAAATGACATCTGTACAGTTAGATTTAATCTGTTTCTCTCTTTTTTAAGACAAGATTATTTATAATACACTTTTTATTTATATTTATATAAAATAAGTGCTTATATATTATAAGCCAACATATAATTCTGCCATTATAGCTGATGCTACATTAGGTATATACAACTATAAATTACATTTCTTTGTAGCTTCTCACATCATTCACATGCCAGTGCACATTTACCTCAGAAAGGCAGAGAAATTTTTGTTTTTCTTCACTTTTTAATGCCATGTGTGGTCAGAATCCAAAGGAATGTGCTGGAAAAATAAAAAAAGATAGCCAGAAACCAGAAAATCTATAGCTGAGCTGTTTTGTTTCTTACCTGTGGAAATGTTTAAAGACTTTCCTACACCTATAATTCACAATTGCTTATTTTTAACCTAATTATTTGTGAGAACCCTGAAATAATTTAGGAAATTAGATCTTTTAATACATATTTAAACTATTATTATTTCCGTAGTGTCTACAGTAGACTCTCATTTTGAGATGGTATATAAATGAAGTTGCACTGTGAATTTAACATGTTAATTTAGTGCGATCCATTATTTAAAAAATAGCACAGTAATAAAATATTAATTAATCATGCCCTCAATCCATATGTAAATTCCTTAAGTAATTTTTCTAGCACCTTCATGTTTTGCCCACTTGCTACTACAAACAGTGTGTCTCAGCAAACCACATAGAAAGAATGAGAAGTCCTTCACAAAGCAGGGAATAGAACGCAGTGATCCCAAGACATGTTTGTTTCTCACTGCTTTCGTGGTGTGAGATGCTAAAAACAGTGAGACCAAAGACTACAATCTGCAAACAGACTACAAAAATACCTCCTCTACTGTATATACGACCCCTCACTTGTGGTCACATTTATTGATGTTCTATGAATTTTCGTGAGCGAAATGTAGTCATTTCAATAGGTCTCCATCTTTGTCCAAATCCAATTATGTCTGAATTATATCACTTAGAGGATCATTTGAAGCATATCATGTTATTCATTATTTTCATTGATTAACAGCCCTACATTCTTAAAAATAAAGGTTCTCTATTGGCATTTATGGTTCCATAAAGAACCTTCAACATCCATGGAACCCTTCCATTGCACAGAAGGTTATGCAGGTTTTAAAATATTTCTCACAATAAGCAAAAATGGTTCTTTGTAGGAACTATTGACTGAAAGGTTCTTTGGGAGAACTAAAATGGTTCTTTTATGGCATCACTTTGAACCCCCATTTGAAACCTTTATTTTTAAGAGTTGCATAATGCCATGGAATCGGGCTAAAATGGGGGTAATTTCCCTTCAATCCCATGTAAGGATTCGGCCTTTAATGTTTTTCCACACAAATCCCGCTCACATGTTAGTCCCCCTTCTCTGGCCTTTGTCCTCGAATTCACCCAGACAAAATGGCAAGGAAATTAAATTAATGTCACAAATGTTGCGTTTTTTTCATTGAAAAAGCCCTCTGTGACAGGCCATCCTGGAGAGCACTGCTTCATTATTCACTATGAACTCTACAGGACCTCACACATACTCCTCGTGTGTGTGTATGTGTGTTTGTGTACCGTATGTCCTGCAGTAAGTGGCTGAATTATTCACTGCGGTGCGATGATGAAGCAGTTAGACTATAGACTACAGCGAGTGTTTCTCAGCTCAGAGTGCTTCATCCTACACTCTCTCACAGCCTGAGTACTGACGCATTCATTTATTCAGCAGTACAGGAAGAAGCCTCCAGCATTTTAACTCGAGAAGTGAAGAAATACCGGTAGTTAAATATCTCCAACCTACTCATGACAAACTTCTTGTCTAGCTACGACTTTCCTTTTTTGACATTATCTTGAGAGCATACGCTTCCTGCTAAGCCTGTTTGTGAAGAGATTAACATACATTTTAGGTGGTAAAAAAAGACAGCTTGTCATGAATAAGCCGGATTTAAGCTGTTTTTTAAATTTCATATATTCCTCTCAAGGTCTTTTGTTAAGCAAACATTACCACATGACTACAGCAATTAATAAGCTGAGTACATATGCATTCATTTCCAAAAGCCAGAAGGTCTATTCCAGAGGCAGGGCTTAAATTCGGGATCAGCACTGGAGCAGGACCATAATTCCATATCATCCCCTCTGAGCTTTGAAGTCCAGTTCCCCTTCACTTGTTTTTGCTGCATTAGTGCTGTTCCAATGATGCAAAGCTACCTAAATTACATCTGTGAATGGTCAACACCTGGGTAGCACCTCCCCCTTCAGCAGTAATTGGTCCATAGAGTATAACATAAGCCACATCTGACGCCCCCTGGGGTTAACGGCCAATCAGAGTGCAGCTTTTCTGAGCTGTATCGGGGCAAAGACAGAGCGTTATCTCTTCCTCTCATTCTCTCTGCGACATTGGCACCAATTACCTTGACATGGGATCACGTTGAATTAGCAGGGTGTGAATGTAGACAGCATCAGCTTTGTTTGCTGAAGAGGAAATACTGAGCCAGTGGATGGGGATCTGAAGACAGAGCGGTTAGATGTGTAATCAATATTGAAATAAACATGGTATCAATTTCTAAATGTTTTTTTTTTGCATCAGTGGGATTGAAAACAATAAAAATAACGAGAACAGTAACAACAGTCATAATAATAATAATAATAAATATAAAAGAATCTATGCAAACATTTTACATACCTGACAAAAATGAATATGAAGGCTACTCAAGTTGAAGTCAAGTGATAAAATGTGACAGTATTATAAAAGAGAAAGAGAAAGTAGATTATTTAAAGAAAAAAAGAGAAAAAAAACATGAAATAAATATGATTTAGCATCAATTTAACAGCAAAATTAATGAAACAAAATGTAATGCTCTTTAAAGTTATTTATCACAAGGCCTAAAACATTTTTCCAATTTTCCACACTCCAAGTGGAATATAAATGCCCCAAATTCCTCCCAAATTTTTAGCTTGTTATTATAGTTAACTAAAAGTAAAACTGAAAAAACTAAAACTATAAAAATTTAAATTATTACTTGGGGAAAAAAAAATTATTCCAACTAGTTGCCAAGGCAACATTGGGCATTTGAATTTCATTAATACTAAAATATAGATACTAAAATAGCTACATTTATACTAAAAGATACTAAAACAACTAAAACTAAAGTAAAAATTATAGAATTGGATTAAATTATATAATTTGATCAGCTATATAATTACATATTATATATACTTAACTACTAAAAATGACAAAAGCACAGCAAAATTCTAACTGAAATTAAAATCAAAATGGGAAATATAAAAATAAAAATTGATTCAAAATATTAATAAAAACTAGTATCTCAGTGATACTAAAATAATCAGCATGCTTGTTCAGTCTTACTTTGGACTTGGACTGTTTGTATTCTTCTCAGTAAGTATCATTGCTCCTGAAGGAATATAATTCAACGTCCCGTGAAATTTCTTCATGAATGCTTTCTCATAAACAGAACAATCAAGTTAAACAAGTTTTAGAAAAAAAAGAAAAAAATGCAGATTAATTACTGCACTCAAATGGAAACAAAAGGGATAAAGTGCTCTTCCTGGTGTAGCGGAACGGAATCACTTCTTACATTTGAATGCATATTAAACAAAAGCTTTAGCAAATCTCCCCAAATCCTTTCTAAAAAAAACTATGCCAAATGGCTCCGTAAGAATTGCTCAAGCAAAATATTTACTTAGGCAGCTCAACTAGAAAGTCAGATCAGCACAATTTGGCCAGCTAGTCAAATTCAGAAATGAGAACATGAGGGGGGTTTGAAGGGATGGCGGCAGTGAGGGTCCATCTGTGGCTCCAGATAACAGACCCCAAGGATCCAGACATAAAATGACCATAAATATACAGGAATACACTTCTGTAATATTTTACTTTATTACAGATGGTATTTACACCTGGTTACTGATTAATGTGTAATGATGATTGTTTTAGTGATTTATTTTTTTTTATTTTTTTTTGGTGACAGGAAACCAAAAGCTTTTGTACAATTTGTTAATTTTTGCAATTTCGTGTAGATTAAAAAAAAATTATATTAATCTATATTTTTATTAAAATGATAAAATATGTAAAACAATCTGAAGACAGCACATTGCCCTGCTGATTCTGTTTTATTTATTTAATTATTTTTTAATAGTAGTGTCCGACTTGTCCGAGCTTATACAGTACATGCTCTGTCACAGGGGAGTAGCCATCATTTTAGAATATTATATTTATTAAAATATATATTTTAAACTGTAATTTATTTCTGGGATCAAAGCTGAATTTTCAGCATCATTACTCCAGTCTTCAGTGTCACATGATCCTTCAGAAATCATTCTAATATGCTGATTTGTTGCTCAAGAAACCTTTTTTAATTATTATTATTATCAATATTTAAAACAGTTGAGTACATTTTTTTCAGGATTCTTTGATGAATAGAAGGATCCAAAGATCAGCATTTGTGTGAAATAAAAAGTTTTTTTAACATTATACACTATACCATTCAAAAGCTTAGAGTCAGTATAATTTTTTTTCATTAACAATTTTACTGTTCAAAAACGTTTGACTGGTAGTATATAGGCAACTTTATTTTTCTCTCTCATTTCTAGCTTTTAATTGGCTTAGAAATCAGATAATTGCTGGACAATAACCAATAATAATGATTTGTTAATGTTTATATACTACAAACACTTTTTTATCACATAATAAGGCAGAATATTTTCTATACTGTAATAAATGCTATGTCAATTAACACTGCATTGTTCATATACTTTATTTATTACCTGGAGATGACTTGAAAAACACAAATAAACCATATTGTCGCAATCGTATGTTTAATGTCTTCATGTTTACAAACGTTTCTGTTTTTCTGTGAAAACAACTGTTTTCATATAGCGATAGCTGGACACTTTTGTCCATAATAGGAATTTCCTGGTACG